AAGGTACGATTCCGTGCGTTAGAAGGAGAATTTCAAATCTAACCGCCGGAATCGATGTTAATTCATTCGCTTTAATTAACAATCGTAGAATAACGACGTGGTAGGAGCCATGAAAGGAAAACAGAATGAAAAGTAATATTTATGAAAATCTGTAATAATCCAGATTTTTCATTATTTTTGTCTCAACAATTTCACTTCCCAGCGTTCATTTGAAGACATATTGTTTCACAGAATACTCCAAGATTTCACGCACCATCTCCAAGGTTATAACCCCTATATTTTACAAAATAGAGTGTCTCCATCGGCCGGGCACTATGTAAATTTCACGTCTTCATTCATACACAATAACTCTGCTAGATAGATAGATAGATAGATTCATAGATAAGATAATAATGAACAGCCTGAGATAGATAGATAGATAGATAGATAGATAGATAGATAGATAGATAGATAGATGAGATGAACAGCCTGAGATAGATAGATAGATAGATAATGAACAGCCTGAGATAGATAGATAGATAGATAGATAGATAGATAGATAGATAGATAGATAGATAGATAATGAACAGCCTGAGATAGATAGATAGATAGATAGATAGATAGATAGATAGATAGATAGATAGATAGATAATGAACAGCCTGAGATAGATAGATAGATAGATAGATAATGAACAGCCTGAGATAGATAGATAGATAGATAGATAATGAACAGCCTGAGATAGATAGATAGATAGATAGATAGATAGATAGATAGATAGATAGATAGATAGAAATTAACGGTCATGGCAACTGTTATTTGAAGCTTTCGTTGGCTAATGACATCTATGTGCGCCGCTACTACAGATGTATCACGGTTCTCCGCTAAATGAAGTAATGCATCTTCCGGCATTGCTGTGCAAGATGATCTTAAACGAAGCTGCTATGTTCTCTTTGCCAAAACATCCGTTTGTCGAGGATCGCCACAGGGACTACGACTACCCGGAAAGTATAGCGGGATTTTTTTTATCGAGGTTAGACTCTACTCGATCGACCGATCCGGCATATTTATATTTTGCTTCACTTACTTCATAATCCTTTCGATGGGCTTGTAGATAACTTGGCGGCGACCATCTCATCTGAAAATTCTTGGACGACAACCGAAACCCCTAATATGATGCGGCTTGACTTTGGTCTGTGCATATGGTCGTTGAATCTTTTGTCTAGATTTTGTCAGCTTATGCAGATCAACTGCCTAGTAATGCAGTGCAAACACTACTCCTTCACGATGAAACACCAAGAAGCATCACTTTACGGAACATACACAAAGTTACGAGTTCCATTGCACATCAGCTGGAAGAAACATCCAACAAAGAAACGCCTGTATGGACACCTTCCTCCGATCTCAGTTTCGCTAAGAGAGAGAAGGCTTCGGCTAGCTGGTCAATCCTGGAGAAGTAAGTTAGATCTTGTGTGAAACACCCTCCTATGTAACCCATTGCGTGGCAAAAGATCTTTTGGAAGACCTCATCACACTTACATTGACCAACTTGTAGATGACCCTGGATGCCATCTGGAGGACCTGCCGACATCGACGTCGGACAGAGATGGTTAGAAGGAACGAGTCAGGAGAATCAGAGAAGAGAACTTTTTGGCTGCCTGCTCATTCCTGGAGAAGTTAAGTTAGAACTTGTGAGTGACACCCTCCTATGGAACCTACTGCGCGGCAAAAGATTGGTTGGAAGTCCTCATCACACCTACATTGACCAACTTGTAGATGACTCTGGATACCATTTGGAGGACCTGCCGACAGCGTTTTCTGACGGAGATGGTTGGAAGAAAAGAGTCAGGAGAATTCGAGAAGAATTCTCAACCTGATGGCATGTCTTTTAATGCTATTAATTCAGACTTCAGAATTCAGGACATACCATAGAAATGCCTGATGTTAATTTATATTCTTCTCATAATGAACATTTTTTCAGCTTTTATTGTTCAGAGAGGTGTTGCCATCATTCAACAATTAAAGATTTAAGTTCCAATAAATATCGATAAAAAAATGAAAAGTGTAGTGTAGGGACACGTACAGTAAGCCATCGTATTGAAAGATAGATCCTTATTAAAGATGCATCCTAATCCTGCAAAAATCATCGTCTTGTGAATTGTTATTCTGTAGGAAATGCTCGTTCTTGCAGGGTTGCAATCTGCCACTTCATTGTAATGGCAAAATAACGTCATCCAGCTGGCTTCAGACCGTTGAATTAAAGTTTTCACAATCAAGAAAAGTTAAATTGCCGTATATACACATGTAACGTACGACCCCCCCTATCGTGCGACACCCAAATGCCAGAAATACTTTGTAAAAATTGTTACCAGAAATAATTATTTGAAGAAGAAAATACTATTACAAGCAATAGGTTTTTGAAAAAAAATATTACCAGCAATATATTTTTTTAAATTATATTACCAGCTATACATTTTTGAGGAAAAAATATTAACGGAAATAGATTTTTGTCAAAACAAATATATTACCAGGAAACAAAAGTTGTCGACATTAAATGACCCATTGAGGTCGATATGCCGTAAAAGAAACCAAACCAAATCAAACCAGTTAAATAAGTTAAAAAAAATTAAAAAAGGTGATATAAGTATCGTTATTAACACTATACACGTTGCGTAAACTTTAACAATGTCTAAAACTCGACATGGGCCAACCATCTCACTACCATAAGGTTATATCACCTCCATTTGTTGATGTGACGTCACAATCTATGAGAATGATTTTCATTAGTTCGCGCATAGATTTTGCGCCACTTGCCTGGCCGAATAAGTGGATCAGGTCTTTCATCAGTGAAAAGTACAGTTGAAAAATCGTTCTTCATGTGATTCTTATTTTATTAGATATCCTACATGTCTTTCAACGCTATTAATTCAGGATTCAGAATTCAGGACTTTTTATCGAAATAGCTGGTGTTAATTTATATCTGCTCATAACGAATATGTTTTCAGCTTTTATTGTTAAGAGATGTTGTCATCATTCAGCGAATAAAGATTTAAATTCCAATAAAAATCGATAAAAAATAAAATGGGTAATGTAGAGACAGGGTAAATCATCATAATCAAAGATTAATCCTAATCCTACAAAAAAAGAAACAGAAAAATGATACCTGCTTTTTAAACAGTGTAAATATATTTCTACCGTCTTTTGAATTAGGTTATCCTTAAGGAAATCTTCATTCTTGCAGAGTTCGAATCTGTGACTCCATTGAAAGGGCAAACTAATGTCAAGTTCAGTTTGCTTCAGACCGCTCAGCTAAAGTTTTCACAATCAAGAAAAGTTAAATTACCGTATTTACTCGTGTAACCCACGATCTCGCGTATCGTGCGACCCCCAAATTTTTACTTACAAAAATTATTTAATCATGTATCTCGTGTTTCTTTTATTTAGAGACTAAATTACAATAGACTAACCTCTTTTCCTACATTGACCAACTTGTAGATGACTGCGAATGCCATGTGCAGGACCTGCCGACAGCGATGTCTTATCGAGATGGTGAGAAGGAACGAGTCAGGAGAATGCAAGAAGACGTTAAGTGCGACACAGAGGTCCGTAGACGTAATCGGATGGCCAGGGATACATTCCAAAACATGAGCAGAATAGTGCGAGGCAGGAGGATTTCTTTGGTAACAAAGAAAATAATATTAAGCTGTTACGTGACATCTGTCGCCAATCGTCCAACATTCGCTACCGTAAAGGCAGCGAATGTTGGACGATTTTCTCAAAGATGAAAAAGAGTCTCCAGACGACAGAGGATGCTAAGGATATCATGAACCGAGCGTGTGAGCAACGATGAGGTCTTAGCGAGGATACAAATAATGAAGACGCTTATACTTAATATCAGGAAGAGACAGCTAAAGTTCCTGAGACACATAATGAGGAAGGAGGGCCTGGAGAATCTGATACTCACGGGTCAAATAGAGGGAAAGCGAGACAAGGTAAAACAACGTATGCCATACCTGACAGGTTTAAGCAAATGGATGACAGAACGTGGTCTGGAGGAGATGGCAGAGGGAAAGAACTTGCTGAGAGCTGCAAGGAATAGAAGGAGGTGGAGAGCCATGATCGACGACGTTCTGAAAGGATATGGCATATAAAAAAGAAATGTGCCATAGAATGGATACATAATGGCAACAATATTTATAGAAATTTATGATAATCTACGTTTTTCATTATTTTTTCTCAACAATATCACTTCCCATCGTTATTTTAGAAGATATATTATTTCACAGAAAACTCCAATATGTCACGCACCGTCTCCAAGGATCTAACCCATATTTGTCTCAAGTAACTCCGTTAAAAATTAGTTAGGCTATACACCACGCATTTAGACGGTCAGTTTAGTTCCAAAACTATAATGATACACAAATGTTTACTTTACGACATTATTTTTTTCAAATTTATTCAAGATGTTGGTGACCATATCTCGCCACAATTACCTGTTTTTTATGACACTTAATAATTTTTTTTTTTTTTTTTTGCTATCTCACCATTTTTTTAATTTTTTTTTTTTGCTATCTTTTTTTGCTATTTTTTCTCACTATCTCAATGTTCGGACAATATTTCTGAGAAAGATAATATCGACAAAATAATAGACCAATGCAAATAGATACATACATAGATACATAAATACATGCATAGAGATATACATCAACAAATTAAGGAAATAAACAGATTAAAATAAAAAGATTGGTATATATATATATATATATATATTATTTACAAAATAGAGTGTCTCCATCGGCCGACCACTACTTAAATTTCATGTCTACATTCATGCCCAATATATCTGCCAGCCTACATCGTTACACTATCCTCAGACAGTCTCCTTCAAAGTCTATGTTCTGCTACATAGTGGATATTTTAATTATTAAATAAAAAAGATAGATAATGAACTGATTCAGACAGATAGATAGATAGATAGATAGATAGATAGATAGATAGATAGATAGATAGATAATGAACTGATTCAGATAGATAGATAGATAGATAGATAGATAGATAGATAGATAGATAGATAGATAATGAACTGAGATAATGAACTAGATAGATAGATAGATAGATAGATAGATAGATAGATAGATAGATAGATAGATAGATAGATACGCATAACCGGTAATGGAAAAATCGTCAGACAAACATGCAAATGCATCTGTACAGCGGATTAAGTTCTTTGTAGGCTAACCACAAAGGCTTTAGCTTCATAGTTTCAAGACTGATCGATAGGCATATACCTACCAACCTACATACCTATATAGAGACAAAGCGGGTGAGATTGATAGTTAGTGTCTCATGATGTTTGAAGCAACAGGAAATAAAGGAGAAAGCGCGGGAATCGGCCCAATGTCCATTGCCAGAACGGTCTGTGATTGGAGGAAGTACTATTTCGGTGGAAGAATAAACAAATGCAAATTCGATGGTGTTCTTAGCCGGAAGTGATTTTACCACTGACAAGTTCGAGGTGACGAGCATTGGCAGAGAAAATTGGTCAAAGTGCTGTCAGCGGAATTTAATTAATTGATGCAAAAGGCATTGGACTCTTTGAGAGTGCCTAATGGATTAAAATGTCCAGAAAGGAGACACTCGCAGACAGGGAAGATGGCGAACGAGTGAGGATTTAGCGCCGTTGCCAGATTGAGAAGTGACAAAGAACAATGGAAAAAACGTGAAAGAAATGACTTGGTAAAAAAGATATTTTTAAATACGTTAACATTTTAAATAAAAAGAAAAAATTGTATGTACGGAATGTATCGTAGATAGATAGATAGATAGATAGATAGATAGATAGATAGATAGATAGATAGATAGATAGATAGATAGATAGATAGATATGAGCAGACTGAAATGGATAGATACGTATAAATAAATAAAGAAAGAAAGAAACAAAGAAACAAAGAAATGAACAGACTGAGATGAGATCAGATAGATAGATGTGAACAGATTGTGATAAATAAATATGAACAGACTAGAGATAGATATGTATACATAAAGAAAGAAATAATGAATTGAACACACTACGAATAGATAGATAGATAGATAGATAGATAGATAGATAGATAGATAGATAGATAGATATGAGCAGACTGAAATGGATAGATATGTAGAAAGAAAGAAAGAAAGAAAGAAATGAACAAACTGACATTAGAAAGATAGATAGATAGATAGATATGAGCAGACTGAAATGGATAGATATGTAGAAAAAAAAGAAAGAAATGAACAAACTGACATTAGATAGATAGATAGATAGATAGATCGATAGATAGATAGGATAGATAGATATGAGCAGACTGAAATGGATAGATATGTAGAAAGAAAGAAAGAAATGAACAGACTGACATTAGATAGATAGATAGATAGATAGATAGATAGATAGATAGATAGATAGATATGAAGAGAATGATAGATAAATACAGATTGAAATAGATAGATAGATAGATAGATAGATAGATAGATAGATATGAGCAGATTGAGATGGGTAGATAGATATGTAGAAAGAAAGAAAGAAAGAAAGAAAGAAAGAAAGAAATGAACAGACGAAGATTAAGTAGAAATAAATATGAAGAGACTGAGATGGATAGAAAGGTTTTGTGACGTACGGTGGCCATTAAATAATTAAGTATCACTCAAGACTTCAATTTGAAAAACAGTATTTAATTACAACCGCGAATAAATACTTGACAAGAACAAATAAAAGTCAACCAAAGATAATTAACCATTTCAGTGAATACCTTGTTAATAGCTCGGATCGGCTTAACGTCCGGTAAATCCTAAATCAAATACCAATCCTCGACGCACAATAATTCACACTAATTAGACTGGATAGTTCAATTTAATTGACTTTTAATGATTACACAATAATCACTCAATAATCAACTCAATAATCACTTCAGTCAGTAGCCTGACACCGCTATTTATACACCTGGCGGAAAACATGTATTTATATTCCAGAGTGTCACGCTCGTACCTCGGTGTCAGTCCAGTCAGTTATGTGCCATACATGATACACGCTTGGGCGATCACGTATCTTTTGATACATGACTGACGAGGCAGATATTTTCCCGCAGTAGGTTGCCATTTATTTCTGTGGTATACTAGTTGCAATCCAAGGCTATAGAACCCGGTCTGTCCTGCTAGTTACCCATAGCTAGGGGAGAATAAGAGGATTCATATATTTCCCAAGGCTATTAGCACGTAAATGAATGTAATAAATTATGTTACTCATTTTCTTCCTGTATGACAATAGGTATACGGAAGAAAAAGAAAGAAAGAAAACAGAAAGAATGAATGAATAAATAACTGAATGGATGAATGAATTGAACTGAATTTAATTAGATAGATAGATAGATAGATATGAAGAGAATGCGATAGATAAATACAGATTGAAATAGATAGATAGATAGATAGATAGATAGATAGATAGATAGATAGATATGAAGAGAATGAGATAGATAGATAGATAGATAGATAGATAGATAGATAGATAGATAGATATATGGTATGATGAAATAGATTGAAATAACATGTGTTAAATATGAACATAGAAATCTCTAATCTTGTTGAATATATTATTCCAATATTTGCTTGGGACTATCGTTTTCCTGCTTAGTAACGAGTCATAGCAAGACTGACAAATCAGATGGCAGGTAGCAAACAATACAAATGTAATCGTTTTTCCTACTACTTCTCTAACTGCCTATCGACACCGGAGTTGAATAAGACTAAAGTACTTCTCATTGGTTGAAATAGATCTATACCCCGCTATATGAGGTAATTTTGGATTTTGTTGTGTAATATATATATATATATATATATATATATATATATATATATATATGTGTGTGTGTGTGTGTGTGTGTGTGTGTGTGTGTGTGTGTGTGTGTGTGTGTGAAAAATAGGAAAGAACAAGTTAGGTAAATAATCCGGAGTTCTTTAGTATTTTGTTTTTAATTTTAAAAAGCAGTGCTCCGTACAGAAGTAGAGCTTAAATTATAATTATTTAAAAAGAAATGATTCCTTCGCTACATAAGAGTTCTCATGTTTCAAAAACGAGAGCCGAAATCCTCAATATAATTATTAAAATTAATTTGAGTTAAAGTATCAAGCCCTGTTTCATCCTCAAGCGAAATTCATATTTTTTAAATATATATATATATATATATATATATATATATATATATATATATATATAGATAGATAGATAGATAGATAGATAGATAGATGTTCCGTATCAAGCCCTGTTTCATCCTCAAGTGAAATTTTAAATAACTGTAATATAGATAGATAGATGGATAGATATACAGATGTTCCATATCACTCAGCTGGATGTCTTCACAAACGTTGTCCCGGCGCTATCAATGTCTATACTTTTGACGATAGTGTCCAGAACTGAAATTCTCGCAAAATGCAATATTCATAGAATTGAGACTTTCTTGATGCAGTCACAACTTCGCTGGGAAAGTCATGTTACAACGATGAGTGTTGACAGAATGCCTAAGGTCCTCAAGTATAGCCAGCTTGGCAGTGGACAAAGGAATATTGGGCGTCGGCGGCCCAGATATAAAGTCACGCTAAAGAGTATCCTCTCAGCTCTCAATGTGTCTCATACAAACTTCGAACGAGTTGCCTTGGATAAAAATAACAGTAGATATTTGTACCAGGGTGGTATCAAAAATCTTGAAATCAGTCGTACTGACCGACTAAGAGAAGAAAGTCAACGCCGAAAAATGTTCCTGATGTCATGTCCCGAGGTCCTTTTCGTCGCACAATATGTGAACAGATATGCAAGCTACAATTGTTACATACTACACAAACATTAAAATTGAATGAGGTTGTCGTATCCTCATACGTCGAAATCAGTGCTTTGACGTTTGCGTTGTATCGAAATGGCCCGGGTTCGATTCTCGTTAGTGGATGCACACTGCTGATGAGTCCCAAATACAGGACGAAACGGCCGTCCATTGCTTTCTACATTCTGTTGAGATTTCTTAATCTAAACTCAATGAATTATTATGTGAAAATAATTAATTATCCAGATTTTGTCTATATAAGCCTATGCTTGATCCAGGTTTAATGCTCTGGGTGGAGTGGCCTGGTGAATGAAGACGTTACGCTCTGGTGAGTTATATATTCTTGCATAAGTATCACCACCGGAATTAGCAGTAGCTGCATTATACTGTCTAGCTTCATCTTCGTCACTGAGGCTCGCTGTCCCAGAGGTATGACGCTTGCTTTGTATCGAAACGGTCCGGTTCGATTCTCGGTAGTGGATACGCACTGCTGATGAGTCCCAAAAAGGATGAAACGGCCATACAGTGTTTTTTTTCATTGTGTTAAGGTTTCTTAATCTAGATTCAATGAATTATTATGTGATATATATATATATATATATATATATATATATATATATATATATATATATATATATATATATATATATATATATAAGATGAGAACGGATAGTGTACAATTCCAACGTTCGTAACATTTAATTTAAAAACGGGGTCAATACAAAGTAGAGCAACATTAATTTATATTTTACATTACAGCGAAAACATGTTAAAATCGCTACACAGTTGCAGTCGTATTTCGATGCGTGTCAATGAATCTCATCAGCCGATTGCAAAGTACCGGCGAGTGAACGATTTATTTCGATTTAAAAGCGAAATACAACCTCTTTTTTATAAAAAAAAAAAAATATATAAGGCTTGTAGGCTTTACTCTGATCAACCAATCAAATATGACCTACGTTAAACGAAGAAGCAATAATTAAAAAAATATTTTTTATAAATGGGTCATGACCTATAAATTGGCAGCTAACAGCAGCACAAACATTAAACAGGTGAGGATGTTAATTGATACATAAATTATACACACTAGACAGTGTCATTTCCTAAGAAAAAATGAGGTGGAGTGGTAATTTAACAAAATGCTAAACAAGTTACATACTTTGTGAGCTTCCTACATATTTTTTTTTTATAGTTGATAAATGAATAGCATCTTTAAGAAACGAGTAAATAATTTAAACGTATAGAATTACTTG